GAGGTTAGATTTTATCAAACCGCCTTTGCACTGCTCAAGGAACCCCATTCTCCTAATCTTGGGCACCCCAGTCCCTAATTTGGGGATCCCTTATTTGTAACTAGGTATTATGTTACATCATAGGGAATGGGCTACCTTCAAAGTTCTTTGGCTAGGCTGCTTGACATACATATGCCGATGCGCTGGCAATTCCATTGAAACCAGACCGGTGACAGCAGGAGAGGGACCCAGGGGTGGACTGGGGAACAACCACAGTGTGCGGAGGGGCCCCCTTGCAACATGCATTCTGCAACATGCATTTATTGAAGGTTCAATCCCACCAGAAATGATATTTTGCCTGGGAAAATGCATGTTTTTTGAATGTAGCCTTGAAAATTTGAAAAAATGGATGAGACATGCAGCAACATGCAGCAACATGCAGCAACATGCATTTTTAGAGGCGGCTGAAACATGCAAAACACATGCATTTTCCCTGGGAAAATGCATGTTTCGCCAGATCTGGGGCTGCCAAGAAAATGCATGTGTCTTACCAGCTCCTGACCCACAAAAAAAGTGAACCATGAAACATGCAGAAAATATGCATTTACCCTTGGGAAAATGCATGTTTTCCTACCTAGGGATCCAGTCCAGAAAATGCATGCTTCCATGATTTTGGGATGAATCCACGTTCCTGTCCAATTCTTTGCGTTTTTGAAGCTAAAATCTGGCCCCAAAATGCATGTCAAAAATGCACGTTGCAAGACCTTTCTTGGACAATATCGAGTGTAGTGGAAAATCCATCCCCCTTCCACCCCATCCATCCTCAAGATGTTGGTTTGTGTGGTGGGCAACAGCACTTGTGGAGCACTTAGACTTAGAGTCACTAGAGTCATTAACACTAGAGATTGTATTATAAAATGCAGCCATTCCCAGTTGTAGTACACTGTAGCTAAACAACCAAACAACCAAACAACCAAAAACGAAGTTCCCAAGTGCAAGTGTCAAAGGGATATGCTGGTAAGTTCACATGTCTATGAAACATTGCAAATGCTGAGCAAACCAAAAAGATATCTGCAAAACCTGCAATGGAACATGCATTTTGAACTTGCAGAAAACATGCATTCTTATCCTTGTGTGGATATCTGGAGCTGTAGCCGACGGGATGTCATAACACTAGTGAAGTATAGTCACATGTGTGATTTACAGCATCTCGGTACCGATCTTTTTGGGGCCATTTATGTAGGATTTTCCATTTAAAAAATGAAATAACATGTGTCATGCACGGCATCATGGTACCGAGCTTTTTTTTGGGCCATAATGAAATAACATGCGTCATACACAGAGGCTTTTACACGCAGATGCTTTTACACACACACACACTTTCACACACAGATGCTCTTACACACTTACACACAGACGCTTTTACACACAGAGGCTTTTACACACAGACGCTTACACAGAGACTTTCACACACAGACGCTTTTACACACACAGACACACACTTTTCTTTTACACACACACACACTTTCACACACAGAGGCTTTTATACACAGACGCTTACACAGAGACTTTACACACAGACGCTTTTACACACACACGCTTTTCTTGTACACACACGCTTTCACACACAGAGGCTTTTACACACAGACGCTTACACAGAGACTTTTACACACAGACCCTTTTACACACAGACGCTTTTACACACAGACCCTTTTACACACAGACCCTTTTACACACAGACACTTTTTACACACAGACGCTTTTACACACAGACGCTTTTACACACAGAGGCTTTTACACACAGACGCTTACACAGAGACTATTACACACAAACGCTTTTACACACAGAAGTTTTTTACACACAGACCCTTTTACACACAGACCCTTTTACACACAGACGCTTTTACACATGGATGCTTTTACACACAGACGCTTTTACACACAGACGCTTTTACACACAGACGATTTTACACACAGACGCTTTTCCGCACAGAACCTTTTACACAGATACTCCTTTACACACTGACGCTTCTGCACACAGAAGCTTTTTGACCACAATGCGGGTACGCCACTTGAACCAAACATTTTGCATGCAGATAATGTTCACTAGCAAGCATGTTCACCGTCAATCTCTCTCATTTCCATGTTGCCCACCAAGAACAAAAGACGCAACACAAACAAAGTTCCAAAAATGTACATCGGGACTGCAATCATCACCCTCACTGCAACTAAAGCAACCGAGCCCCACACATTGCCAGCGCGGGTGCTATCAATCATCCATCCTCAGCCGATGTCCAACAGTTCTGTATTATCATGCTAAACACAAATCAATCCTTGCAGTCACAATCTCCAAAGAATCAATGCAAGACCTTATCCACAGAAAGGAAGTATTACTTTCAAGGCATCACTTGAGGCTCCGACCAAACGATTCCTTTGTAGAAAATGTAGTTGAATGCCGCTCGCACAGACTTGTGCGGTAAAACTCCATGCTTGATTTGGAAAAAACAAAAAACACAACCACCAAAGAATGAATGCAACACCATGTCCACAGAAACAGAACACAGACACTTTTACGCACAAACCATGTTGCACACAGAAGCTTTTACACACAGACGCTTTTACACAGACGCTTTTGCACACAGAAGCTTTTACACACAAGAGCTTTTACACACAGACGCTTTCACACACAGAAGCTTTTACACACAGACGCTTTCACACACAGAGATTTTTATACACAGACGCTTTCACACACAGAGGCTTTTACACACAGAAACTCCTGTACATACAGACGCTTTTACAAAGACACTTTTTCACACAGACGCTTTTACACACAGACGCTTTCACACACAGACGCTTTTACGCACAGACCCTTTTACACACAGAAGCTTTTACACACAAGAGCTTTATAGAGCTTTTACACACAGACGCTTTTACACACAAACGCTTTTACACACAGAGATTTTTACACACAGACGCTTTCACACACAGAGGCTTTTACACACAGAAACTCCTGTACACATAGACGCTTTTACACAGACACTTTTTCACACAAACGCTTTTACACACAGACGCTGAATGCAACACCAGAGAAAGAACACAAACACTTTTACGCACAAACCATGTTACACACAGAAGCTTTTACACACAGACGCTTTTACACACAGACGCTTTTGCACACAGACACTTTTACGCACGGACCCTTTTACACACAGAAGCTTTTACACACAAGAGCTGTTACACACAGACGCTTTTACACACAGACGCTTTTACACACAGACGCTTTCACACACAGAGATTTTTACACACAGACGCTTTCACACACAGAGGCTTTTACACACAGAAACTCCTGTACATACAGACGTTTTTACACAGACACTTTACACACAGACGCTTTCACACACAGACGCTCTTACGCACAGACCTTTTGACACACAGAAGCTTTTACACACAAGAGCTTTTACACACAGACGCTTTTACACACAGACGCTTTTTACAGACAGAGATTTTTACACACAGACGCTTTCACACACACAGAGGCTTTTACACACAGAAACACCTTTTACACACGGACGCTTTTACACACAGACGCTTACACAGAGACTTTTAGACCCTTTTGCACACAAACGCTTTTACACACAGACACTTTTACACACAGACTCCTCACAAAGACGTTTACACACAGAAACTTTCACACACAGAAACTCCTTTACACACAAATACTTTCACATATAAAAACCGGACCCGTGAAATCGCAATTTTTCCTCAGTTTTTGACGTCCAACGTCCATTTTGTGCGAAAGGGTTGCGATGGATACTTCAAAATCACAATTTTTCCTCAGTTTTTAACGTCCAACGTCCATTTCGTGCGAAAGGGTTGCAAAGTGACACCTTTTTTCGCAATTTTTCCTCAGTTTTTGACAATCAACGTCCATTTCGTGCGAAAAGGTCGCGATGGACAAAGTAAACTCGCAATTTTTCCTCAGTTTTTGACAATCAACGTCCATTTCGTGCGAAAAGGTCGCGATGGACAAAGTAAACTCGCAATTTTTCCTCAGTTTTTGACGTCCAACGTCCATTTCGTGCGAAAGGGTCGCAATGGACAAAGTAAACTCGCAATTTTTCCTCAGTTTTTGACGTCCAACGTCCATTTCGTGCGAAAGGGTTGCGTTTCGTGGCGCTCCGGCGGCACCGCCCCCGCCTTAAGAGAGAATAGAAAGAAGAGCGAGAGGAGATCTGCAGATGTGAAGGTGTGAAGATGTAGATCTGCAGATGTGAAGGTGTGAAGATCTAGATCTGCAGGTGTCAGGGTGTGAAGATGTAGATCTGCAAGTGTGAGGGTGTGAAGATGTAGATCAGCAGATGTGAGGGGTGTGAAGATGTAGATCTGCAGATGTGAAGGTGTTCTGCAGGTGTGAGGGTGTGAAGATGTAGATCTGCAGATGTGAGGGTGTGAAGATGTAGATCAGCAGGTGTGAGGGTGTGAAGATGTAGATCAGCAGATGTGAAAGTGTGAATATGTAGATCTGCAGATGTGAAGGTGTGAAGATCTAGATCTGCAGGTGTGAGGGTGTGAAGATGTAGATCTGCAGATGTGAGGGTGTGAAGATGTAGATCAGCAGATGTGAGGGTGTGAAGATGTAGATCAGCAGATGTGTAGATCAGCAGGTGTCAAGGTGTGAAGATGTAGTATGACGGCTGTTTTTTTACGAAGAACCCTTCGCAGGCGCTCTCGGGAAAAACGCCATTATATTTTTTTTCCATCGTGAATTGAGAATTTGTTTCCCCAGAAATATCTTTGTTTTGCAAATTGTCAAAAATGATTTCTCCTTTTGGATGAACATGTAAAAGCTTGTCAAAACAAAAATGTGTGTTTTGGGCGCAATCTCCATGACATGTGGCAACCCACAAAAGCCATGTTTTGGCCACATCTTTTGCCACATGTTTCTGTGGGCATGCATTGGCCCAATATTTTTTTCGATGAGGATTTGCCAACCCAAGGGAAGCAGCAAGTTGCAGCCAGCCATGGTGGACATCACCTTCCGCTGCCAAATCAAGTACCAAGAGGACAAACCAGTGACCATTGCTGCAGACCTGGTTGAAGAGCACCAAGGCCAAAACTTCTTGAAGTTCAGTGCCACCAACTACTCCATTTGCAAATTGGTATGTGGTGGCAAGCTGCCCAGGAACCCCAGTTTGTCCAAGAGCAAGGAATTGCAAGCTTTGACCCAAGCCAGGAATGAAAAGATCCAAGAATATTTTGCAGCACCACAAGGTCCCCAAGAAGGCCAAGAATTGTTTGGTGAAGAGAACCCAGGCAAGGGCACCAAGAAAAGAAAAGCCCATACCATGGAAGAACCTGACAACTTTGTGGTAACCATCCAGTTGGGCTCCACTGAGATTCCATGTTTGGCTGGTGGCCAAAGACCTTCCAAGTGGGATTTGTTTGTTGCCATGGAGCCAAAGCCATTGAGGCAAGTCATTGGCCATTTGAGAGCTGGCTGCCAAGCTGCATTGCACGAACCCACCAGAGGTTACAAAGGCACAAAGAAAGGCTGAAGCCACAAGTGACCATAGCAGGGATGGCAAAAAAATAGGCAAGTTGCAGCAAACAATTGCAAAAGCCACTGTTTGGCCTATATAATCACAATGCCTATAATTTCAAAAAGCCTTTACATGGCCATGGTCATTAGCAGGGATGGTCATCAAAACCCATGATGAAGAACCACTTTCAATCCACAGTTTCTATGTATATCACATATTTGGTTGATGCTTTTGAAGGCTGCTGCTGCTCTGGCCTAAAAGAACAGCATTCAGCCAAGTTGCACCATTAGCACGTGTCTTTGTAGAAACAGTTTTTTACAGGGATTGCCAAGCCTTTCCTGCAACCAGCCATGGTGGACAAAGTGGCTGCCCAAGTGAAAGCCATGATGGATGGCCCCTTGACCATCAACCAGAAAGTAAACCAGGTCGGGTTGGCCCAAAAAGTGGTCCTCAGACCATCACAGATTCTATGCCACCCTGACAACAGGGGTGGGACCATGGTATCCTACCATGATGCTTGGAGCAAGGGCATGGCCATGCTGGCTGTTGGAGTCCAGACCAGCCTTTTGCAGGGTTCCATGGCCATAGGAATGTCCAAAGATGAAGCCAAAAGAAAGGTCCAGACATCCAAGAATGAGCAATTGTTCCAGGAAGGCATTGGGCACCTTGCACCCCCCACTGGCCAGGAACTCCTTGGTTGTTACAAATGGCCCATATGAAAGCACCATGCTGAAGCTTTCACAAAGACAGCCCCACTGCATATACTGATTCCCAATGTTTTGGCAATACAGTTGTTGATTCAGTGGCCATTGCACTTCCTAGGTTATATGTCTTTGAGTGCCAGCCACACTGTGAGCTTCTTGAGAGCTCTGGAACACCATTGTGTTGGACCAGCTGGAACCCAACCTGATGTTCCCAAGAATGACCCATGTTGGAAGTGCATTACAGAGGGATGGAGCTGGGTGGTGCTGTCCAGTGAGATTGATTCAATGGTAGCAAATGGCCATGAACTCTTCCAATTCAATTGGAAGACCACAGACTGAGCTAGGGTTGGCCACCACCATGGCTACATTCTTCCAGAATGGCATGAACCTCCATGAAGCCATTGCAAAGGCCAAGCAAGGAGACATCAAATGTCAACAGAGCCTCCCAGCTGTTGCCCACAATGTCCAAAGATTTGCTGGTGGGCCAAACTTCCCATTGACTCATTTCTCGGGCAAATTTGGCAAGCAGTTTGGTGGCACCTTGCTATTGGGAGGTGACTTTTTCCATGCTTTGGCACACACTGATTTCAAAGTCAGTGGCCAAATCGTTCCCATGGTGAGATTGGGTATTTGGGCCACCATGCTGACCAACCCACAAAGATCTCAAGATGGGTTTGCCAAAGTGTTTAGCAAGGGTGACATTGAGAAACTTAAAGGCCATGGGTGCATTGAGAAGACCAAGGAAGCTGAGACCATGTTGGCCAAGCTTGGGAAACATACCTACAGATGGTGGCCACCAATAGCAAGATGGAGCTCCACTACACCAAGTGCTTTGGAAAGTTTACAGTGAGGCTTATGTTTTTCCTCACTCAGAAGCAAAAGATGCCCAAGGAAACCAAGTCAAGGGACTCCATGCATGACATTTTAGCAGCCTTCACCCAAGAGGTCCAGATCCCACCTACTCCATCTTCTACCGGCCCAGGGGAGCCAACCACAGCAGTGGCTTTGGAGGTGAAAGACATGCTGAAAGCCAGCCCCAAAGAGGTTGCCCAACTCCAAAACCACCACTTGAAGATTGAAGCATTGCACCTTGGGATTTCAGTTGGTAAGCTATTTTTTTAAGTTTTCTTTTTTTAGTCATATTGTTGCCTGGCTCAGGTATGTGAATTACAAAGAGCATGGCACCAAAGTTTACCAGCTCAAAAGCATTGGTGACCAGCATGCCACCTTTGAACACACGGGGCTCTTTGAACAGCCAGAACCCATTGAAGCGGCCCATGCAGATTTGAAGAAATGGAAAGCCACCAAGGCTTTGATGCCCAAGCTGTGCCCATCCCAGTATTGCAGCACTGCTGTGCCCATGGCACACCCAAGCATTGAGCAAGACTTCCAGAAGCACCAGGTAGCTTTGGCACTGCACCAAGCTGCCCAGACCCATGCTATGTCTGAGAAACAGGTTGCTTTCTCTTTGAATCCAGCAGGATTGTGGGCCAAAGCCAAAGTGACCAAGAAGGGTGCTTTGAAGTTAGTACCATTGGGTCACATCACCATTGAGAAACCCCACATGCTCACCATTGAAGCATTCTCCAAGAAGTGGCTGATCTCACCATGGAATGGAAGATGGTTCCATGTTTGACAAACCAGGGCATCCATTGCTGCCATTCTGGTGGGCCAAGAAATCCAATGACACCACTGTGTGCATTTGGAATGGCACCAAGTGGTAGTGAACAATTGCAAGATCCCGATCCTGACCAACACAGGACCAGTGGAAGCAAAGACTCGGTTGATCTTCCCAAAGGAGACAGAAGATGAGGAACCAGCAGGTGGAGCAGGAGAAGATCCAACACCAGCCAAGAAGAGAAAGAAGAACAAGACCGCCTGAATGCATCAGCCAAGAGCAGCAGAAAGCTCCACAAGTTTCACTTGTCTTCCAGTGACAGCAATTTCAGGCACATGAAAGCAAAGGCAACAAAGGCAAGCCTGCTGGATGATATTGTTTCTTTTCTCACACCCAGAATTTCATTCAGAGTTTTGCCATTGCAAGGCTAAGGCAAAGAACATGTTTATGTAAGGACCACATGTGGTTAACCAACAAAAGCCACATTGGCTTGTAGGATGCAACAAAGGCAACAATGGCTTACAGAATGAAACAAAAGCCAACCATGGCAGTTCACAGCCACCATATGTCCACACACTGGAGCTGAGCACATGTGGGCCAGGCAAACTACAATCCATGTATTTGTTTTGGTTCCACCTCAGCCACCAGCTCAACAGTTCAGTTACTGCCAAAGTTGACAGAGTCTGGTTGCCATGGGCCAGCCCATGAGTTTGCCATGTTGCCCTGCCAGAGATGGGAAGAGCCACCTGCAGGACCAAGGTGTCCAAACAGAGAGATCACCAAGGCATGTGGCATGGGTGAACCCCAACCCATGGGTGGAGAATCCCCAATGGACCCAACTCCAAAGGGTGGCCAAGTATGCCCTCCATTTGATGGAGCCACACAAGAGACCACTGGCATGGTACCACTGCAGGGGCTACCATGGCCAAGAGAGGTGCCAGAGGTTCATCATGGCCATGGATGTGGAGCATGAGAGCAGGAATTGTCCAACATGTGGGCATCCATGGAGGTTCACCATCATGGATAGCCAGCCATGTGTGGCACCTTTGGGAGATATGCCATCAGAGTCGAACCAGGACAGAAGATCATGCCAGATTGAATTGCCAGAAAAATGATTTGTTTTCCTTCGTGCATCCCAATACATCTCTGTCAAAATACATATACCTTTTTGTCAACCCACATAGGTCCATTTGATATGAACTTTGTTCCCCACAACTTTGTGTGGGGTTCTTGTTTTTGATTCTGTATCCCGAGCCTCCTCCTCCTCCTCCTCCTCCTCCGTCCGCTCGCCTCCGCCTACCACAACTTTGTCACATACATAACTTCCCACACATCACACACACACACCTTCGTCACATACCATCTTACACATTAGTCACACATACAATAACTTCACACACACAAACTTAACACACAACTTTGTCACATACCATCTTCACACACACACACAAACTTGGCAACAATGACTTCGCCTACCACAACTTTGTCACATACCATCTGTCACATACATAAACTTAACACGCAACTTTGTCACATACCATCTGTCACATACATAACTTCACACACACACACACCTTCGTCACATACCATCTTACACATTGTCATACATACAATAACATACAATAAGTTCACACACACACAAACTTAACACACAACTTTGTCACATACCATCTTCACACACACACACATTGCGTGGCAGGCGTGGCACTTGGAGACATTCACCTTTGGTTTGCGTGGCAGGCGTGGCACTGCGTGGCGCGCTTGGTCGCCGTTGGTCGCCGGTGACGCCGCGGCACTTTGCGTGGCAGGCGTGGCACTTGCTGACATCCACCTTCTTTTTGCGTGGCAGGCGTGGCACTTGGAGACATCTACCTTCGTTTCACGTGGCAGGCATGGCGCAATCTCACATCCACCTTCGTTTCACGCGGCAGGCGTGGCACTTATGGCACTGCGTGGCGCGCTTGGTGGCCGCTGGTCGCCGGTGACGCCGCGGCACTTTGCGTGGCAGGCGTGGCACTTGGAGACATCTACCTTGGTTTTGCGTGGCAGGCGTGGCACTTGGAGACATTCACCTTTGGTTTGCGTGGCAGGCGTGGCACTTATGGCACTGCGTGGCGCGCTTGGTCGCCGTTGGTCGCCGGTGGCGCCGCGGCACTTTGCGTGGCAGGCGTGGCACTTGCTGACATCCATCTTCGTTTTGCGTGGCAGCATCCACCTTGGTTTTGCGTGGCAGGCGTGGCACTTATGGCACTGCGTGGCCGCGGCACTTTGCGTGGCAGGCGTGGCACTTGCTGACATCCACCTTCGTTTTGCGTGGCAGGCGTGGCACTTGGAGACATCTACCTTCGTTTCACGTGGCAGGCGTGGCACAATCTCACATCCACCTTCGTTTTGCGTGGCAGGCGTGGCACTTATGGCACTGCGTGGCGCGCTTGGTCGCCGCTGGTCGCCGGTGACGCCGCGGCACTTTGCGTGGCAGGCGTGGCACTTGGAGACATTCACCTTTGGTTTGCGTGGCAGGCGTAGCACAAGGAGACATCCACCTTGGTTTTGCGTGGCAGGCGTGGCACTCATAATCACTAATATGGCACTGCGTGGCATGCTTGGTCGCCGTTGGTCGCCGGTGACGCCGCGGCACTTTGCGTGGCAGGCGTGGCACTTGCTGACATCCACCTTCGTTTTGCGTGGCAGGC